GGGAAAAGGACAGGACTGCGGGACCTCACCTGGGGAGGTGAGGTTGTGATCAATACAGGGAACTTGGCAGCAAAGGGAGCTCTGCGTGGTGGAGGCTGAATGAGCTGAAGGGCCGCTCAGTCTACGGGAGAGTTGAACCAGGAAGAAAGTTGAAGCTGGAGTTCGGAAACCTACCGTGGTGGGGAAGGACCGGTGAGGCTGCAGAGGATATTTTTATGATGAAAAGAAATGATGGGAGGAAAGAGGTGGCAGTGTGAAGAAGTGGGAAGCATCAGATGCAAGGAGGGAGTAGAGTAGGAGTTGATGAATTGCATTATAGGTCCCATTAAAAAAAAAAACGAACAACATAACTTAATAATATCTTGCCCCAAAGTTTCACTGTGGTCCGTGCAAAACTGCTGGCTTACGGTAGCTGGCACTGAGCATGTACTGAACACCCAGCTCCCAGTGTAACTGTGCGCACAAATGCAGTAGTCACAAGTGCTAATAAAGCTTTGCACCTAAATGTACCCCAGTTTCACCAGCATGTTACAATGAGGAGACTGCTGTACGGAGATGTTGAATGTCTGATGTCATCCAGGAAGCAGAAGGCAAGCTTGTAAATAGATTTGCATTTACTTAACTCTATTCTATGTGCTGGTAGCAGGTGTATGAAGAGTTTTAAATCTATGTGCTGATTTCACCTGAAGTTTGACAGATAGTGAAAGCTGTGAGCAGCACAGAAATGAGCATTATGCCGTGTGCTCATTGCCGTTGCCTCTCTCGCCTGTTACACATCTGTTAACAAGAAACATATTTTCAAATGCCTCAAAAAGAAAAGGTGCCCTGAAAGAGACTAAACGAGCTATAGCTGCCAGCCACTTAAATCGAGGTGCTTCGGATCGGGTTTGTAATTGGTTATGTCTGCTGGTGTGACAAACTGATATGCATCACGTGTGCCACAGAAGACAGAAATCAAGTTGTCAGTCATGATTGCTGAATGTTTTTTTTGTGTCTGATAGGTGACAAATTAAATCGCCGCAATGCCACCACTGGGGAATACGCCCAGGCCTGTGTTCAAGTAGCTAGGGACTGTGGAACGGATGTACTCGACCTCTGGACACTGATGCAAAAAAATCAGGTACGATGTCATGAGAAAGACTTTGAAACTGTCATGAATTGTGAAATAAATTGTGAAATTGCATAATTTAGCATAGAGGAACCTGTAGTGCTGCATTATCACTGAAAGGATACAAAATATATCCAAATCACATTTTGGGGAAGGAAAAAAGTAATCCAGAATGCTTCATACCGGGCTGGGAGAAATAAAGCTTAATACAAGCTAACCATTATATTTGGTTAGCGAATGTCCCCTGGGTGCATTACATGTAAACAACCTTTTCCTTGGACTTTGAATCATGGAAGGGGCCTCTGGAGGCACCTAGTCCAACCTCCTGCGCAGCGCTGGGCTACCTTCAAAGTTAGATCAGGTTGCACAGGTACCCTGCTGCCACTTCTGACCGAATACCCAAACTCGTCCCTGTGACAGGCGCTGCAGACTTTCCGTAAGCAGGTAACTCCAGTTCGGACACGGGGTCTTTTCCCTCTCCTGCACTCCCTGGCGCAGTAGATTGTTCAGTAGTGCAGTAGATTCAGTATTTTGATTGCATCACTTAATCTCGTGATCTTTTCCTGATGAACAGCAGTGACTGGCCATCAGAACATTCTCTTAATATTTTAATACAAACGGTGAAAAATAAAACCAGTATATATACCAGCTGGCTTTGAAGAACTTGCTTACTTAAAAATTACTCAAGAGCTTCTGTTTGCAACTAGCAAATACATTAATACATGGTTTTAACCTCCCTTGTAGGATTTCTCTTCCTATTTGTCTGATGGGCTCCATTTATCAACAAAAGGCAACAGCTTTCTAGCAGCACAACTTTGGTCGTGCCTGGAAAAAAAACTGTCTGCTCTTCCTTCACTGCTTCCTTATTGGCGTGACGTGGACCATACGAACCCCGAGGCCAGTCTTCTGTGCGATCCCCTGCAGTAACGAGCCGAAGCAGCCAAGCCTGGCAAAGCCAGTCTGTTTACAAACAGCCGGTATCCAGCAGCACACTGCAAACGTTGCGTACTTGGGGAACCAGGTGCTGAGGAGTCCCCTGCCGGTACTCTTCGTATCCCCTTCCCTTGGTCTATGGGAGAATAAAGATGAGACCACTCAGGCGTGTCTTGGGGTGGTTTGTCCTGCATGCTGCTTGTGCCGGTAGTTTGAACATCTGTGGGGATGAGCTCCTCTTTCCTTGGACGACTTGGAGGAAAGCGAGAGTCTCGGCTGCCCTGTGACCAAGGGACAGAGGCTGCCCAGAGGAGTTCCTGGCCTAGCTGAGCTTTGGGGACTACACCTTGATTAATACCATCTACTAGCTTTAAACACCTAGGAGCCGATAAGAGGCAGCAGCGTGGAGTTTGTCAAGAGCCGTTAGTGTCAATCCAGATTAATTTATTTGGTTGTAATACAGCAGTAGAAGCAGTTATCTGAGCTTTAGCAAGGATTTTGATAGTGATGTGTCGTAGTTCAGAGCAGGGGTTTTAGAGTTTGACTTATTTTGGCACCAGCAGCAGCTTCTTGCCTATAGACACAGATTTCAAAACAGTGCATGGTTTTGGGCAGCATAAAACTGGTGATGGACGTGCTCGTTTTGAGAAGCTCGGATCTTGAAGAAACCACTAGAAGGGGTCTGCATCTCTGCTGACAAAGCTGCGTCATATGTAATTTCCCATCAAATTAAGGAGGCATTTCAAGTGAGCTTTGGCCTTCATCCATAATTTAACAACTGATGTAACAGATGAGTACTGCATACTGTGTATAGTTTTTGGCTAAGAGAACACAAGCTACAAAACTACCTTTACAAACCGAAAAAAAATTGCCTGAAACCTAGATGAAATTCAACAAGCATGGAAAAAAAATGTGGTTTGGAAAATAATTGGCTAGTAGCCACACAGCAGAGGAAATGAGACTACTACTGGACCATGGATTAAAGAGAAATAAATAGTATATCACTGCAACTAAAAGCCCCCACGTAATTCTGGGCTGCGTTACCAGTTACATTGGCAGAAGACAGATGAGGCCAATAGCGAGGCCTTGGGTGACGTGTTTATTATGCATTGGGTGAGACAGAGACTGATGAGAGAGCATCAGGATGTCCCGCTTTGTTAGCGCCCCGAGGCTGCCTTTGCTTCGCTACATAACTGAGACAAGTCGGCCAAGACCTGTCACCTACTATGTAATGGTGTTATAAACTGGAGTGTAAGTAGTTATTTTTCATGTGCCTGGAGCTAGACCAGAAGTTAGATTTATAAATATTTATGAATATTAAACTGGACTGTCCTTTCTGTAATAAATACTTACAGTAAGGACTGGCTGAGCAGCGGAAGGGGCTCCCTGTGGAAGCTGCGGATCTTCCTGCGTTAGATGATACAAACAAATGGTGCAAGTACAGATTTCACAGTTTCTGGAATACGGCTCAGATTGGGGGATGGATTCTGTGATAGCCAAGGCCTGCTCCAAACCTCTGTTTTCATGCTCCCAGGTGCTTGCCACTGCCTGGTTTTCACCTGGGAAGTAATGACCTTAGTGCTGAGAACACGTACTTACACATTTACTACCTAAAAAGGCACCTGAGCACGCACCCACGCCTTAGATATGAATTTCATTGCCAGAACTGACCATACGAAGCTGGTGAAGGGTCTAGAGCACAAGTTCTATGAGGAGCGGCTGAGGGAACTGGGGTTGTTTAGCCTGGAGAAAAGGAGGCTGAGGGGAGACCTCATTGCTCTCTACAACTACCTGAAAGGAGGTTGTAGCGAGGTGGGTGTCAGTCTCTTCTCCCAACTAACAAGCAACAGGACCAGAGGAAATGGCCTCAAGTGGCACCAGGAGAGGTTTAGAGTGGATATTAGGAAAATTTTTTTCACCAGAAGGGTTGTCAGGCATTGGAAGAGGAAGTGCTTGAGTCCCCATCCCTGGAGGTATTTAAAAGACGTGTGGATGTGGTGCTGAGGGACATGGTTTAGTGGTGGACTTGGCAGTGCTAGGTTAACGGTTGGACTTGACTGCTGGGTCAAGGGTCTGACCTCCGCAGCAGAGGGGAGCGGTGAGAAGTAACTGGCTCAAGTCTGGCTGCACCCCAGACTTTCAACTCAGGGTTTGACAACTAATGAAGGACTGCACAGCAACAGCTCTTCTTTAACTGACTATTTTTTTTTTAATATAAAAAGCTTTTATTGTATTGGGAATTAAATTAACTCCTCACACATGTACTTTGCACTGAATCAAAAAAAGAAAACCCAAACAAAAAAACAAACAACCCCAAAAAGTTCAAATCCAGTATATAAAACACAATAGCTAGTCAGATAGAAATACCGTAAGGCACACGTTCAAGTATTAGTGTAACAAGTATCCTCGGGGCAGGAGGAGCTGGGGGTACTCCCACAATCCTTTCGGCACAGGTTTGGTTCCTTTCCCTCACATTTAAAAACACAAAGGCTTTCCGCAGCTGCGGTTCCCCCGTGGCTGAGCACAGGCTTGTAGCAGTTAAAATGGTTCTACCATTGGTCCCATTTTATGTCAGTTTTATCAACAGGTTATTATGGGAGAAAACAGATGCAGAATTAAGATGCTGCTTTGCTATCGCGACAGTCGCTCTGCGACTCCACTGTGTCAGTCCACCTGCTACTAAGCTAAAACAAGGCCCAGGTACCAGTCCCAGCTCACCTTACAGATCTCCAGGTGTATCGAATTGGAGGATGCCATTAAATGACCAACTTTTAACATCACATCGTTTTACCTGTGTGGGAACCTGAATTCATGAAGTCTCTTCCTTATACTTGCCCTGTAAGTTTAACAAAGGTTTATTTCTTTTTTGATGAAATTCACAATTGTTTTTAAACAAATGCCCCCCCCGCAATGGAGTGAAT